CGTTCACTGATATAAATTAACCATTTTACAAAACACTAAAAGAAGACAGGTTTTTTATTTGAGGAAAATTAATTTAAAAAGTATCGAACCTTTTTTTGTACTTGTATGGCCCAAAAGAGTAATGCTCGATGTTTTTGTTCATGTAATTTTTGTTCAGTTTGCCAACTTTGTTTCCATTGTGTATAAATTCGACTTATTAAACGCATTCGATCAAACCAAATAGCTTGTCGTTCAAGTAACTAATCAAAAAAATAAATAAATAAAATTACAATAAAACTTTTTCATTTACTTTAATACGCATATCAACATGGTGTTGCTCTTTCCATTGTGAAAACGATTTTTTTAATAAACTTCTTTCATAAAATAATTGTGAACGTTGATTAAGAAACCGATCACGTAAATGTTCGTTAGTTATTTGTTTCCATTTATGATAAACAATTTGTAAATAAAAATGATCTTTTCCTTGTTTATATTTATTCAATTTAATTTCATTTTCATTATCAATTAGAATTTGTTGAATTATTTCATTATTCCAAGCAAGAAGTATTTTACGTTTTAATGAACGATTATAATGATCTTGAGCATATTGAATTAATTGTCGATCATCTTTTTCTTCACGAATACTATCGCGCCATTGACGAAAATATTGTCTAATAAATGAATAAAATTAAGTATTAAATAATCCTTTAGTGAACAACTATTGAGGGTGTGGGTGTGGGCCGGTGTGAGTCTTTCTTCTTTAACAACGGCAACACCCACACCCTCAAGATGGTAACTATTACTAGAAACAAAGAAAGTATATTTACGTACCTTAACATATTACGTTGTTTACGATCAAAATGTTCATTAACAATTACCATTAATCTTCGTCTATATCGAGCTTTATTTAACCATTTAAAATATATATTTTTACCACGATGTTGTAAATAAAATTGTTGACTTTCACGATGCATTTGTTTCATATAATGACAATGACGAATATACTACAATTCAAAAAATACTTTATATTAATTACTTTAAAGAATTTTTACCAATTTCCAAGCATTTAATGTACGCCTTTCGATACTATGATAATAAAATTGAATAGCAAGTCTTTCTGATCTTTCTTCATTATGGCTTTCGTCAATTAATTGTCGCCATGCTAACCAAGCTCGAACAATAATTGTACGAAAATAATGACGTTCAGCAACAATCTTTAAATATACAAAATACAAATATGAATTCATTAATTCGTTCTTTTACATGTTGTTCATTATCAATCAATCTTGAATGTGCTCGATTTAACCAAATATTAAAATATCTTTCACGCATCGTCTTTTCTTCATGAACAATTGCCTTAAGAGAAAAACAAGATTACGTAAAATTTCAATTTTTATTTAACTAACAATTCTCCAATTCATTTGATATTGTTCATTTGTGCGTGTTTGTACTTTCCAGTACAGATAATAAAGCCGTAAATATCGTGAGCTGAAGAAGAAAAAGTCTTTATATGAAATTCAATGAAAAAAAAGAATCATTCTTTTACCGATAATGATCAACTGCTCGTTTTTCAAGTAACTGTTCATGACGTTCATCTGTAATATTAGCACGAAGAAGATGAAAATATTTACGTAGTAATTTTGAATTATAATATTTATCAACTGTATGTAATTCAATCTGAAATAAATTGAATAAGATGGTCATAAAAAATACGAAGCTATATATTTAATCTTACATTTTCTTGTCGACAATCATTAATATATCGTCTCCAACAAAACCAATAACGAATTGTAATTTTCATATTATAAAATGATTCAGCTTTATGAAATTCAGCAAGCATATATATATTTTCACGTTGTTCTAATCGATATTTCCATATTCGATAATAAATACGTTTTATCTAAAATTCAATTAAATTATTAAAAATAAATAAAAAACATTAAATACCATTTGAGCTCGATGTTGAACAGCAATCCAGTTTGCTCGTTGTTTCATACGACGTTTTAATACATATTGCTGAAGAATTGTAAATGCCGAACGCTTTTTTTAGAAAAAAGAAATAAATATGATATATAAATCTGTGCTTTTTTAATTTAAACAATTTTTGATTCGTAAGAAGCAAGAGTAGATTTCACAAACTGAAAATTTTACTACCTCACATCCATCCCCTCAGTAAAGAGATTGATAAAATACCCAGTAGAAGAAAGCGAGTCTTTGTTCATTCTTACCACAATTCTTCGATCGCTATACTGTTCAGCCATGTGCATTGTACGTTCTTCATCAGCTAAATCATTAATATCTATAGAAAATTTAACGAATAAAATGAAAATCTTTTAAATTTAAAAAAAATTGCTTACATGACTTCCATTGTTCAAATGCCCATCTTGTTAAAACTCTTTCTTGCAGTTGAGCTAGCCGAGATTCATGTTGTTGAATTAATAATTTTCTTGTTAATGCTTGTCTCCAATTTTTATAAATTCTTCCAATTAAATGCTTTTGATAATATTCATGTACACGATCTAAATCAAATTTAATAAATTAATGATTAGTTCATGTAAAATTTTTTTACTTTTATGAAGATTTTTCTTTTGTCGATAATCTTTATAAGTAAACCATGCATTTAAACAAATTCTTTGTACATGTATACGATAATGATAATTAGCTCGTAAACGTTTTTCATGTTCTTGTCGTCGTTGATTGGTATTGATTTGCCAAATATGATAAAACTTTAAAAAAAACAAAGGAAAAGTTGAGTTACATACTTCTGCAGATGGTCATGTTGAAAAAACTTAAAACAAAACATACGCGAGTTAAAATCATTCGATGATATTGTTCATTAGCAATCATAAATTGATGTTGATGTACACGTCTTTTATTCAATTGTATTTTCCAAATATTCCATGTATTTTTTATTCGTTTATGATTAAGATGTTCAACTGCTATTTGATTTTGTGAAATAAAAGTTAACCAAATTTGAAAATAAGTTTTTAATAATTGTCGTTGATAAAATTCGATAGCAATCAATTCAGATTGATCATTTTGGGATGTATTTTTCCATAAATGAAAATATTTTTTAAGTAATCTATTTTCATTCATTAATTTTATTTTACGAAGATGACAACCAAAAACATATTTTTGCCATAGGATAGAAAATTTTCTTGCTAAACAATACCATCGTAAATCATCAAGTGCACGATGTTGTGGTTTTCTATAGATGACAACTGGTGGTGATGGTGAACGAAGACGAACAGAAACAGGTATTCGACTTGGTCGTTTCAAAGTAGCTTGTTGTTCTAAATATGAGTTTGAAGAAAAAAAAAAAGAAATAATAAGGTAGAAAATTTTACCTTCTTTCAAACGATTTAAATGTGTACTAGCATGAATAAATGTATCTGTTACTTGTGACATATTTTTACGAAGATTTTCAGCTTTTGTTTTCATAAATTGATTGAGTTCATCAAGTGTTCTAGGTTGTGGAACAATTTTTTCACCATTAATTTGTAAATTATTTCGTCGTGTCGATGGAATATATTCAACATGATTATTCAGATGTTGCATATGAGATTGATTTGTTACATGATCGATATTAATCGTTGTAGAGGGAATTGTATAAGATATATTTAATGGATGATGTCGATGATTTGAATCATCTTGAATTGTTAATGGTGGAATTCGTGGTGATGGAGATGTTATATTAAAACGAACAGATTTTTTTCGAGGTGTTATAGATATCAATGGTCGAGAGGAGTTTTGTGGAGGATCGAGCATTTTAAGTGTTTATTGATTACATCAATGATTGATAAAGAAAGCAAGCAAAAGAAAAAAAGAACCACAACTTATTTAATCCATTTCATTGATCACTCTTATGAATGGTATCTTAGAAACAGATTGACCATCACGAAATGATTATCGAAAGATGTCATTAGTTGCAACAGGTGAGTATGAATGAACTTTAAACTATAACCCTACAGAGTTTTAACGATAAATAGGTATAATGAAATTACATCCCAAAATTATTTTATATCTTTCATACCAACATACTAAATTGTGTATTAATCTTACTTAAATATTATCTTAAATACATTATACTATAGAATAAATTCTCTAGATATTGGTGAACATTAGATATGTATTTAACGAAAATAATTTTTTTTGATTTGTTATATTGTTCATTGTTAAAAACTATGCACTATTCATGTATGAACATCGGTCCTTGAATAGATTGATTGCTTTTTTTATTAGATTAATTATTATTCACAAGTTATACTTTATACTATTTATTTATTTTTATTATTGTATAACATCCAAAAGAAATATATTTTATATTTTAAAGTAAAATTAGACGATTAATCAATGATATATACTACATAGATTTTGATTATCAAAAGCAGATAAATTGTTTATTGTTGTATGCAGAATCTGTAGTTATATAATACTGGGATACAACATTTGTTTCTTACAATTCGAATACTGGCTAACGAAATATGCTAAAACCTCAATCCATATAGAATTGAAAAAAACTTCAAACATTTGATATATGCATTAGTCTCATTCTATTCATACTAATATAGTGGCAAACCTAACTGTAGAATTGTGGTATATAATTCTCTAGTTGAATACTTCTTAATAATAATTTAATAAAAAATGAAAACACTTTTTGAAGCTATATATATAATAACCGTTGTTCATCCGAAGTAAATAAGATATATTTGAATTTTAAACTTGATAGCTACTCATAATTATTTTGTTTCGCATCGATTATAATGCCACCAAAATCATTCTTTTGTCTATGAATCATACTACAACAGGTAAACGTTTTCTTCTTGAATGTGCTTTGGTTGTGTGTTTTTGGTAAGAATGTCTCACATAAAATGTATATGACGTCATATTTTTCGAGAAATCTGTTCAGTATTCTGTTGTTTCTATTGAAACACAATTCTGTCTGCTTGCAGACGAAAGAGAACGAAAAAAATGAATTAAATAGATGCATTTTTCTTTCTCGAGAATCAAGGGTGAATTATATGATCACTGTTTGGATGACACTTTTACTTGTTACTATCGGACCAAGTTATCAATATAATTATTCGTGTGATTCAGGTGCAACTTGTGGATGTTCCTCTAGTTCACAATTAGTTACTCGTATTCTTGGTGGAGAAACAGCAGGAGCAAACAATTGGGGTTGGGTTGTGTCCGTAAAAGTTGAGACTAGTGGCGATCGTGTTAAACTATGTGGTGGATCTATTTTATCAAGCACATGGATCATTACAGCAGCACATTGTGTAAGTGGAGTTACAGCATCGAAAGTAACTATTTATGCTGGCTCAAATGCTAAATATGATGGTCAATCTCGAGTAGCATCTACTATTACTGTACATCCAAGCTATAATAGTAATACTAAAGCTGATGATATTGCTCTAATACAACTTAGCACTCCTTTAACAATGTCTACGGCAGTAAAGCCTATTTGTATACCATCTGTATCTTCGGCTACATTAGCTGCTGGTGAATGGCCACCAGCTAATCTATATGTAAACTGCATTATATATCTTATTTTTGTTTTTATAATTAATGTTCA